TGATAGTGGTGTCAAATTCAGCACTAAGTTCATCTCTAGAAATAGCATTAAAGGTGTTCAAAACATATAATGACACACCCCCTCCTCTTCTGTTCTTTCTACAAGAATGAAATGCTGTATAATTAGGTATCATAGATGCCATAACTGTCCGTGTTCTGCTCAAACGGGTTGAAAACTAAAGAGTTAATGTCAGCGGTGGGTAAGTTAACAGAAGCCATAGAGATATTTAAGAAGCTTGTTAGCAGATCGACACAGACTCACGTGTTGGAAACTGTCAGTCCGCTAAGCCACCCATTTCAAGTTGGCCTACGTCCGATGTTAACTGGATATTCCGTTTGACCCAGACAGTTACAAAATCATAGTCCATAATCAAACGCCACAAAAAAATAAAGAAAGAAAAAAAGAAAGTAATAGGTCCACATATCCGCAGCTCATATCGTGGCTCTGTTGTGATCATCATTTGTACAAGTCCAGTTCATTAAATTCTTTCACCATCACTGCTCTTTCCTCCTCCAGTGTCGCTCCGTTCGTTCGGATAAAAACTTTACTGTTCCGAGTCCAGGTCGCTTTGATCTTTTTAGTCTTTTTCAGTTGCCGCGCTGCATAATCAATGATCCCGTTCTTCCTTGTTAGATGCTCATTCACAAACACGCCTGTGCCCTTTAGCTTGTACCCCTGCTGCAGCAAGCCGACCTTGTCCTTTCTATTGACAAAGCGGACTATGATTGCTGGTGGAGTGTTTTTGTTGCTCCGGGGGAGTGTATGACAGGCCGAGATCTGATTGCTGTGAATGGGAATATCCATGCTACCGAAGAACTGGATAATCTGGGATTCCAAGGTCTCCGTCGTCAGCATTGTTTCCAGCAGCGACCTTAGAATAGGCACGGTGGCGTGTTTTCAATCCAGAGATAATCACATCATCAATGCGGGAGTATTGCTCTACGTCATCCAGTCTCTTTTCCAATTCTTTGATCTGTTCATCTTTCTTCTTTAGTTTAACTTCATAGCCGTTCACCTGAGCTTGGAGCATATTCACCTGTTGCGTGAGCTTTAGGATCTCCGTTTGTTGCGTTGCAATTTTGCAGACCTGTAGTTGGATTGTGGCCAGAGTTTTTTTAATATCTTCCATTTTAACAATGTGTGTAAGCTTTCTCGTTGTCGTAGTGCCCGGCGGGCACTTTAATCACTTTTATTTTAGGAGAATTAAGTTAGGGCGAGCGAGCGAACAAATGCCAGCACCTGCATGTCAGCCATCTTTGCATCTGCGTGGCGTCACTGTGCCGTGACTATCATATACAACGTATTATTTTAGCATTACTGTGCTAATGCTCATGTTATGAAAACAATTAGAAATAAAACATTCCTAACATATATCTCACAGATAACCTATATTTCACTGGTAACCTATAACATACCGTAACATGGTTAAGATTCCTAAATAAATATTCACCTCGTCGCTAGATACTCCTGAAAAACTCGAAAAACTCTGCTGTCTGCACAAGGGTTTTTCTCCTACGATGCCACCGTCACTTACCCGACGGGAGGGGTGAGTGAGTGAACGCGAGTCAGCGCTGCAATCTAGAATTTGACCGCTGATGTCACTGTTACTCATCATTTTTACACACTGAGGCTTTAAGGTCAGATCAGAAGCAGAATATGTACTTAGATTGAACAACCTTCAATGTGGGCAGAATGTTCCAAAACAATACACACATACACACACACACACACCCCCCCCCACACACACACACACAGAGAAAGTTAGGTAGGATGTCTATCTAAGGAGGAGTATAAGAATGTTTGGGGGGCTGTCTCGTTGCGGTGTGTGAAGTTGTAAGCTGCATTTACAATAAAATACATGCTAAAGGCTGTGAACTGACCTCATGTCATTGAGTCGTTTTTAACACCCAAGCGCTGGATTTTGATGACTTTGGAATGAGACTGGGTTCAATAATACACTGCTCATAAAATTAAGGGAACACTTAATAACACCAGACAAGTTAAACATCAGGGAGATCAATTTGCCCATTTGGGAAGCATGAGTGATTGTGGATCTATTTCACCTGCTTTGGTGCAAATGAAAGTGACAACAGGTGCAATGGAGAGGCTAAAGCAAGACAACCTCCAAAACAGGGAGTGGTTTTGCATGTGGTAGCCACAGACAGTTGCTCTCTACTTATCCTTCCTGACTGATTCTTCTCTAATTTTGTATTCTGCTACTGTCCTTGTCACTACTGCTAGCATGAGGCAGTACCTGCAACCCAATCAGATTGCAAAGGTAGTCCAGGTCCTCCAGGATGGCACATCCATATGTGCGGTTGCAAGAAGGTTTGCTGTGTCTCCCAGCACAGTCTCAACAGCATGGAGGAGATACCAGGAGACAGGACCTTACACAAGGAGAGCTTGACAGAGCTGTAGAAGGGCATCAACCCAGCAGGAGGACCTGTATCCACTCCTTTGTGTGAGGAGGAACAGGAGGAGCACTGCCAGAGCCCTGCAAAATGACCTCCAGTAGGCTACTTATGTGCATGTTTGTGACCAAACTTTAAGACTCGATAAGGGTGGAATGAGGGCCTGACATCCTCTGGTGGGACCTGTGCTCACAGCCCAGCACTGTGCAGCTCAATTGGCATTCGCCAGAGAACCCCAGAATTGACAGGCCACTGGCGCCTTGTTGTCTTCACAGATGAGATTATACTGACTACCTGTGACAGGTGAGAAAGAGTCTGGAGACACCGTGGTGAACATTATGCTGCCTGTTACATCATCCAGCATGACCAATTTGGTGGTGGGTCAGTGATGGTCTGGGGAGGCATATCCTTGAAGGGTCGCACAGACCTCCATGCCATAGCCAATGGTTACTTGACTGCTGTTAGGTACGGGAATAAAATCCTCAGAGAGATTGTCAGAGCTTACGCTGGTGCAGTGGGCTTGGGTTCCTCCTGGTGCAGGACAATGCACAATGTCTCATGTAGCTAGAGTGTATAGGCAGTTCCTGGATGATGAAGGCATTGATGTCATCGGCTGGCCCTCTTGTTACCCTAACCGAAATCCAATTAAGCACCTATGGGACGTTATGTATTGGTGCATCCAACGCCACCAAGTACTGCCACAGACTGTCCAGGAGCTCAGTGTTGCCCTGTTTCAGGTCTGGGAGGAGATGCCCCAGGACACCATCCGCTGACTCAACAGGAGCATGCTTAGACGTTTTGGGGAGTACATACAGGCATGCAGGGGCCATACACATTACTGAATCGCATTATGAGTTGTTCAGTCATGCAAGTTGGAACAGCCTGTGACTCAATTTTTTATTTTTGGTGTAATTTGGAATTCAGCCCTTGTCTGTGTATAAACAGTCAAGAGTTTCTTGAGAGCTCTTGAGAGACCCCTATACATTTCATCCAGGGCTGCACTGACTGTTGGATACTGAGCCATGGGGAAAGAAAAAGAACTGTCAAAAGACCTGTGAGAAAAAGTTGTTGAACTTTACAAATCAGGAAAAGAATATATAAGGATATCCAAAGACTGTAATGCCAATAAGCAGTGTTCAAACTCTGATAAAGAAGTGGAAACTTAGGGGTTCTGCTGATACTAAGAAATGGTCAGGTAGGACAACAAAGATTTCAGTCACAACTTCAAGAGAAACTTTTTCAGGATGCAAAGAAAAACCCACAAGCAACTTAATCTGAGATACAGGCCTCTGCAAAAAAGTGGTATGGCTGTTGAATCATGCACAATAAGGAGGTACAGTGAAGTTTCCAGAAGAAGGCTGTTACAGCGTCAATGCCACAAAACAGCCCACTTACAATATGCAAAACAGCACCTGGACAAGCCTCAAAAATTCCACAACAAAGTAATTTGGAGTGATGACACCAAAATTTAACTTTCTGGTCACATCCAAAAACATTACATTTGGAGAGGAGTCAACAAGGCCTATGACAAAAGGTACACCATCCCGACTGTTAAGCATGGAGGTGGATCACCGATGTTTTGGATATGTTTGAGCTTCAACGGCACACAGGGAATTTAGTCAAAATTAATGGCAGGATGAATGCAACAAGTTTTTAGAAAATACTGGAGGACAATTTGCATTCAGCAGCCCAGAAGTTGTGCATGGGATGCACTCGGACATTCCAACATGACAATTATCCAAAACACAATGCCAAGTTGGCCCTTCAGTGGCTACAGCAGAGAAAAGTAAGGGTTTAGAAATGGCAATCACAGTCATCTCCTGACCTCAGTGTAATGAGCCACTTTGGGAAGATCTCAAATGTGCAGTTCATGCAAGACAACCCAAGAATTTACAAGACCTGGAGGCTTTTTGCCAAGAAGAATGGGCAGCTTTACCACCAGAGAAAATAAAGGCCCTCATTCACAACTATCACAAAAGACTGCAAGCTGTCATTGATGCTTAAGGGAGCAACACACAGTATTGAGAACTGAGGTTATGTAAACTTTCAAATGGAGATCGTGTCAGTATTTTCTTTATTGCTATGTTTTATTTACAGATTGTAAAATGATGTGATGCGTTATAGTTTATTCTGAAGCCCATTAAATATAGAAGGAATGTGTTTTGCCTGATCACTCATGTTTTGTTTACAGAATGATACACATCTTACAAATTCTGCCAGGGAATGTAAACTTACGAGCACAACTGTATTTTTCTGAATAAGAAGTCTCCTGGATGAGAGGTGAAATGTCTTCGAGTAATTCAAGCAAGTCCAATTGCCTACGATATAGCATTAAAGAGCTAGTTACATGGAACATAACTGTGCATATAAACATCATTACAAATTATATAGAATATATAAAAAAAAAAGAAAACTTAAGGAGGAACTATAACAGCATTATTACATAAAAATTAAGAAATGAATTGCATGTGTTCAAGTGCACTGGCAGCTCTTTAACCAGGGGAGGCGAATACAAAAATTGAGTGTGTTTGGCTGACAAGTTCAAGTGTAAGTCTGAATGATATACATAATTGTAATTTCTCATTTCAGCAACAAGGCAAAATTGGTGTGACATTCAACATTGGCACAGTGGATATCAGTGTGCAGGAAAGCAGTACCGCAGTGAATGATGGGAAGTATCATGTTGTTCGCTTCACCAGGAATGGCGGCAATGCTACGCTGCAGGTGGATAACTGGTCGATCAATGAACACTTCCCAACAGGTACAACACTATTCATCACACTAGTAAGCATAAACAGTATGATATTGAGAGAGTAAAATACAAAAAAATTTAAAAAAAGTTACCCTATGCTTTTTCTGAGCTTCACTAACAAAGACCACACCAATAAGATAACGATTTCAAATGCTAGGTAAGGATGAAGGGATGTAGAGTGAGGAATGAAGGGATGAGGGTTAAGGGATGAAGGGATGGAAGACCAAGGGTTGAGGGATGAAGGCTGGGTTCCTGGGTAGTCAGCGAGTGCGATGATGAATGTGTTGGGTCGAAGGTAGGAATGAAGGAAGGATCCCGGGAGTGAGACTGAGTCGGGGAGTTGTTTCTTCATGAGCTCGGCTTCGGATAGAGTCCCCAAGAGAGCTTCAAGAGCGCATGGGAGTTTCCAATGTTATTGGATCATAGCGCTGTTTGGATGTGTGCTGTTTACTAAAGAAGACAGGTTGGTGGGGATGGCTGAGTTTGTGTACGGTTGGGTGACTCCTGGCTTAGTGTGATCATCATGAAAGGGGATGTCGTTCCAGGAGAATTTTGGGACTGGTGCTACGGTTTTAGCTCCGTCTTGCATGGTCAGTCAATCTTAGGTGATGATAGAGATGAAGTAGTTAATGAGTCTTAGCAGTGAAGAAGTTGGGCAGGAAGGAAATTTGAAAAGGTTAAGGGTGCTTTCACGTCGGGGCCCTTGGCCCAGATCTTTGCATGCTTAACCTCAGTCTAGTTCTTATAGGTAGATAAGTGTGAAGAATTAATGCCGCATCAGGGAACATAACACTGACCCCTGTTCAAGTCCGCTTGAAAGGTTAGTCTCAGGAGTTCATGGTATGCAATATGGTTCCAGCACAGAATGTGTCAAGTGTTAAAATCAACTACGCCAAAAACATGGAAATGGACTGCTGGGCAATCATATTATCATATTTGGGGACAGCATGAATCAGTCGTACCTAATATGGAAACGCTCGACAGAATTTGCTTGGCTGGCAGGGATGCCTGGATTGAGATGGGGTCGAGGGGAGTGGATGACGACAATGCCGAGGGAGAGAGGGGATTGAAGGGAAGGATGAGTCGGAGGGAAAATTAAGGTGGGTGAAGATAACGGAAACGAGGGCCTACATGAATTGAAAGTTAATGATTTTTATGTTGAAAAGCAATGAAAATTCTGATTAAAGCAACTCTTACCATCTTAAATTTGAACATCCACAATTCCCATCTCCCTCCAAAGACCTACTCCTCCATTACGTCCTCATTACGTCTATGATGGACATAGGCGTTGGCAAGGTAACGTTAGATACACTGAAGATGAACCAAGACAGTCGAATGCAACCCCAGAGTTTTAAAACTGCAGTTACAGTGCTAACATTAGACAGTAGTGTTAACGTTACTAGTAAGTGGAAACGCACAAGGAAGATAACGATAATGCTTCAGAGGCTACGCTACAGTAGGCTAACATTAGCCATTAGCAACTGGATGTTGTGTCGTCATATATAATGTTATGAACTGAACTTCTTTATGTCATTTTTATGCGCAGCACAAAAATAAAATGACATTTCGCATACCCTAAGCAAAAAGAAACAAAACATTTAAAAACAATTTGTGCAACATATAAGAAAGAACATATAGTGCAATAGTAAGATGAAAGGGTTGACATTTCACAGTCAAAAACTCCACATCCTGAGAGCAGAACTGGGAGATCCTCTTCACATCACAGCACCCTGAATTGTTTGTGTATATTGCCGGAGCTTACCAGATGATGCAGCCTCCCTGTCTGCTCTATGTAGCGTTAGCCCCGTTAGCTCAACACCGGAGTCTGATATGTTACTTCATCCATGTCTCAATGAACACAAGGACGCAGCAGTCCCTCACTCCTCGGTGAGTGGATCTCCACAGTTGGGTGTAATCCATTTTCGTGTCCAGCAAGCTGACGTTCGCCAGAAGGACCCTGGGAACAGCTGGTTTGATGGGGGGTTACACAAGCAGTTACGTCAGTCAGAGTCAATCATTGCATTCGGTCCAAATGCAATGATTTCTTAGAACCATATGAGAATGGTATAATTATGAGTTTTTATTTCTGGTGGAATTCACTTACATTTTAGTGTGCCATCAGCTTATTAATAGCATTTTAACCTAAACAAAGAAAAGTGTAAAATTTCCAGAAAGGTAAGTGTTGCTTTAAGAGAAAGAAAATGGAAACAATATGTGTGAGGAGGAAAACAAGGTTTAAGTAGTGTGGCGTGGTCCTGCACCCAGACTTAAGCCAACTTACTTCTCAGGAGTGAGAACGGAGAGAGAGAGTCGGAAGTATGAAGGTGCATTAGAAAAACTGGGACGAAGTGGAAGGTAGATGCATTAGGGTGAATTTGGAGCACTGCAGGAAGTGACCAGCCACAGGGGCTGCACTGATTTACCTCTCGGGAGTGATAACGAGAGAGAGTCGAAAGTATGAAGTTGCATTAGAAAAACTGTGACGAAGTGGAGGGTCAAAAATGCGTTGGGGCGAATTCGAAACACGGTCCATAGATGCCACAGAGGGGTTGACTGGGGAATAAGTAGCCTGAAGAGAATGGATGCAGGGCTAAGAAGGTCCTAAGTCGGTGGCAAGCATTTGCTGTAAGACCAGAAACCTTTTGCAAGTGCTGGTTAACATGAGAATGTATGTAGTGGTTTGCAACTGCCAGTGGCTAGATTAAGGAAAACCTGGTAGTTGTGGGTAGAGAAGGAAATTTTCTTTATTATTATCATCATTATTATTATAATTATTATCATTTTATGGATACAATGCGTGTTAAAACTGCGAATGAAGGTGACGTCTAGAGAGAAAAAGAGGAGCTGACACTGGCTAGTAAGATGGGCTGTGTTTTGGACAAGATCGTTACTGATAGCTTTCTGTGAAGCTGATGGAAGTTTTACAGGTTGTGGAACTGATTAGACAGCTGTGACGATGTGATGAAGCCTTAAAATGCAGAGGTGACAAGAATGATGGAATGACCTGAGAGAGGACAAACATGTAGGGTTATTGTTTGTTTGTTAGTTTGTTTCACTTGTGTGGTTTCCTTTTGTACGAATTAAATGAGCAATGACTACTTGAGAGATTTCCCTTAATACATATTAAAAGAGCATTGGTAGAAGGAACCTAAGATTTGAGATTTCTGTTTGCCAAACAAGCAAACAACAATTGTTTCCTCTAATTGCATGTGACACTGAGTAACTTAAAACTTGAAACCATACAACCTGGCTCCCTGCTAGTGGGAGCTTATGGTACTGGCTGCTGCCCTCGAGAAGGTGGACTCTCTGTGACGTCACAGGCGGCAATCCGAGCATGGATGTGTCAGGCGAGGATCCTTAGATGCCGGCAGTTATGTAGGCATGGTTTTCAATGGAGCAGCACAGAGTTGGAACCTGGCTTATGACCACAGTTGCAGGGAATTCTTTTTTCTTCCGGGACACGATGGAGACAGTCCACCATTTGGTCTCTGATGTCGTTTGGATTGTGATGTGGAGAATGCTGTTGCGTGAAGGAGGCTGGTGGAGAACGTGCACCTGCGGCCGTGCCAATGGTGACCGCAATTCTTGGCCCTCGTGGATGGAGGAGAGGATTGATCCGGAGTTGGAGAGAGTTTGTTTGGCAGATGGAATCGGGGAGCTGGCAAGGCTGAGGTATGAAAGCCGTGGAACGCTTGTGGCTCTGCCTGGAAGTCTGTTTGTAGCTTGACTGCTGCGGGAATAACATGTCTCGAGGATAATCGCTTTTGGGTGGATTTTGTCGATTTATATATTTGAAACAATGAAAACTAGCGTTTGTCTTACTTTTAGATTGAGACAAGCCTGTGGTTAAACATGAAGCGCACAGTTGGTTGTTGTGAGAAATGTGTCAAAGAGAAAGAGGTGTTCTTAAATACTATTGGGCGGAAATGGGATGTGTCTGAGGTGTGGTCTTTGTTCCCGAACCTAGTTTATAACACTACATTGTGAAGTGACTAAAATATGTAGTATACCAACAAAGTATATAACATCCTGTCTGTGGCACATCTCCTGAACTTGGTCAAAGTGGTCAAAGCCACCTTCCGTCTTCTGACTTACACTTAATGTCACATTCACCCATTTACACACACATTCACACACTTGTGGTCACTGGTGCCACCTGATACTCAATATTGATTCACGCGCATTCACACACTGATGGAACAGCCATCGGGAGCAATTTGGGGTTCAGTATCTTGCCCAAGGATACTTTGGCATGTGGACTGGAAGAGCTGGGGATCGAACCACTGGTCTTCCAATTAGTGAAGACCTGCTTTATTTCCTGAGCCACAGCCAGCCCACTTATATCTTTAACAATTAAAGATTTGGAGAAAACAAAATGAATGACTGACATAGAAATCAACGGTAAACAAGTAATTATTCAAAATATGCACACTGATATGTCATATGATACATGCAGTTTAAATAAATATTTAAGCACAATGCAGAAATTCTTTTTCAAGGCCCTACTTATTTCTTTCTGCAGATGTCAACCTACCATTTTATAAACCAGATCTTTCATTGTCATCACTAAAAATAAAGCTATTGTCCAATTGCGCTACAAAAAAGAAATTAAAAATTCAAGCTGCGAGCAGCATTGGGTGGGACCTCACACTCGTGGCTGTTTCGGCCTCAAGCTCAAGCAGACAGTGCAAATTATTGGTAAGAGACAAAATGTCGAGAAAACAAGCAATGTCAAGGGTACGCAAGGTCATTTTTGGCAATAGAGGGACTTTATATTACAGTACGTTACAATATGTATTTAACAGTCATGTTCACATAAGTAGCATCAGTATTATCAGTAATAAAGGCTGTAGTAGTATGTGGGAGATGAAAGACACTGATATATAATGTGTAGATGCTGTTTCAAATGGAGATTCTGTTGCTGCAATCTGTCCTTTAAAGATTTTGAGACACGCACACACAGAGGGCTGTGTGTGTGTCTGTGCCTGCAGCTGTTGTCATAGCAATTA